GGTATGCAAATTAGTTGATCGTTCTTAGATTAATGAAAGGTGGTAGGTGGTTGAATTCTAGCACGAGTGAATGAGGTGTGTTGGAGTTGTTGTGTGTTGAGTGGAGACTCTAAAACACTGAGTTTCCTGTTTTGATGTGCGAGTGAATCCTGTACCTAGATACACAACTTTGAATACATAAGAATAAACGTCTTTTGTGAAGTGCATGACACATGTCACATGTTTTATGATGAAAGGAAAAAGGAAAACTGAATAAAATCTGTGGCCTAAATGAGTGAAGAGCGCAGACCTGGTGATTAAACTCATAGCTAATAGGACATTAGGCCTATGTTGTGTGTTGTGCAGCTGATGGTTGGTTTGGAGTTAATCTAGCTGATGATTTTTCTTTTGGTGTGAAGTTGAGCCTGCCAATTAGTATGATGGTATGATAAACCATGCTAATGGTGATTTACCCTCCTGAGATGAGGAGCTTGTGTCATGACTTAACGAGGCCTTTTTATTTTGATACTTTCACAGTGCACTGAAAGTTTTGTTCGATAATCTCTGTCGTTTGAGCAGATCTGCATGATTAGAACAGAAAGCGCTGTACGACACGTCGTCGAGAAATTTGTTACAAGTGAGTTTCTCCACATTAAAATGGGCTCTGGAGAAAACCGCTTATTTGGGACAATTATTAGATGAGCGTCCCTGCCTAAAAAGGATTCAGCGAGGAAATCCGATCTAAAAGTTCTTCTTTTTCTTTTTGAAATGACGTCATTTTGCTGAGAGTGGAGACTAAATGCGGCGATGGGTTCCACTATCAGCAAAGAAAGAATGAATGCATGAATGAATGAATGAAAGAGAAAAAAAACTGACTGACTGGTAAAAGCTGACAAAAGTTCACAAGACTTTATTGATGTAACACGACTGTGCGAAGTTAACCCCCACTTGACAAAGGTGCAGATGAATCTATGTGTGTTTCCTTTTACATGAGCAGAAGATGACAGCAACATTCGAGGCTGCATGACGATTTAAGCTTTTAAGTGTCACTTTCTGTGTCTGTGCATCTACCAGGGGTGTTATTCACTACCTTGTGTTGCTCACAGAGGAAACTGTGAGAAAGTGTGTATACGTCTGCGCAGCGCTAACATTTGCATTTCTTTTACATTCTTACAGCATGCCAGTTCTTCATGTGAATTGATGATGCGATTTATACCAGGACAACTGGTTGATGTTTTTTCCTACTACAGGATTTCTGGGTTTATGTGTGAAGAAAACTGTGTTTATAGGTTATGAGTGGTGATGCTGTTACACTGTGTTTTTGGGAAAATGTGACGGTTACTTTGATGATATGAATAACATTCTTTCCACAGCAATGGATGGTTGATTTTATGGTCTTTTTTATGGCACCTCTGGAACCTGTTGATCTGTGTCTGACCTGCGTCTGACCACAGTCAATGTGTATTGCTAATGTTTGTTTTTCTGAGACTGCATGTGGAAGATTCAGCGGAAGCGGACAAGTGACATGAGAAAAACAGATAGGAGATGCAGTGTTTATGGAAAAGTTGAATATGGGCTCTTAGCTGGCCACTTTGAGCCCATAGTAATATATGAGTGGAGTGACTGCTTAAGAGCAGTCACCGATTACGTTAATGTTGCCTGAGTACATGGGATTATCCATGTCTGAGGTGACTTATGGAAATAATTGTAGTTTACTGATTTGAGAAAACTTGCACATGACACTTGTCTTGCTGATGTTGAATGCTTATTGCTCTTATGATACAATTGTTTACAGGTATGAAGTTTGATTTCACTTCCAGATTTTGCTTTCCAGGCCATGATGGTGTGTATGCAGGCTCCTGGGAGAGCCAGGTGTTAAGCAAACTTAATATGCAAAACACGCTAACATCTTTTATTGCAGGGTTACGGAGCTACTCCAGCGGAGATGCCCTGATGTTGCCTGGGACATGATCTAGCTAACCTTTTTCTTTATGACAGGGATCCAGGTTTGGTGAGTTGACGCATGAGAGTGTCCATGAGTCAAGAGGAGGGGTCCAGGAATTAACATTAAACAATGTTTTCTATTATTGTTGCAGTGATTTGTGTGATTAACCGCTTATTTACAGGTATTAAACCTATGCAAGTGGTGCATCCATGTTCAGATGAGGCTTTGATGGCCTATAAGTGAAGTTCACTGAACTAAAGAATGTGGTTTGATGATTGTCGACATGCTCTCCAAATAGAAGTTTTTCTTCCTAGCAAGGAAATACAGGTGCAGCAGTAATCTCCTGAGAAATCTTCAGAGGCCCAGTGAGAAGCGAGAACCATTCCAGGCATAGCTGACAGCCCAGGCAGTGGTTGAGGTCAAAGGTCAAGCTGGTTGGGGCCCATCATGAGATCAGACCTTGGAGCCACAGCAAGGACCATGAAACTGCGTTGGAATGAGAGCTGTGCCAAGGAGGCTTTCCAGAGGCCAACAGAGGAGATTGTGGACAACGGACGGGCACCTGAAGGATGAGGGGAGCGTGCCAAGCTCCATTGACAGCGCAGAGGGAGTCTAAGGATGGCATCATGATTCTGTGAAAGCACAGGAACCAGAAGCTATGGTGAGGTGTTTTTCTGCAGAGCATGGACAGTGGAGGATTCATAAATATCCCCCTCACAAGACGAAGGCCTGAAGTGAGGTGATGGGGGTTGGTAGAGGCCATAAAACTTGAGTGCTGAGAGGTCTGCAGCTTTGAAAATAGCTGAGACCCATGTTGACGAACAACAAAACTAACTGGTATGTTTTAATGTTTATTCTACATACATTTGGACTCTGGTCCTATGGACAATGATGGAAACAACTGGAAGAGACATTTATGATGCCCTGCAGAACTCAAACCACTCTGCAGAGAGACATGTGATTTGCACGCCCGGAGGAAGCACCACCAAGCTGAGATGTTTTTGAAAATGTCACTTTCTTATTTTAACTATCAAATTAACAATTCATTTGTTTGCTTGTAGGATGCAGTTTGCCATTGGATGAGATCAATAAGGAATGGGATGACTGCTAATACAATTGTTAAACTGTGTACTTTTACAGTAATTTAGGGTGATTTGATATATGCTGAGTATGAAAATGTTTGCATTGAAACTGTCAGACATGAGGTATTCATAACTGGGAACTTTTTAAGCATAAAGGTCAATAAAGGGGGGAATGTTAGGTTTTGTATTGTTCATTGCCATTTATGCTTAGAAATATTTACTCATATATGCTTAGAAGTATATAATCATTTGTAGATTGAAAGAATGTCTCATCCTAGGAGGTCTGTAACAACTCTCTGTAGCATAAGATCACACACCTCCTAGGAGAGGTCGTATCTTCTCTTGCTGATATATGGTTTAGCAAACACACGTATATTTCTTTAAGTATAAGAGCCTTTTGTTCAGATGGAGCCCTAGACTCCTGGCACCAGCCTTTGGGGAGTCTTCACAGGGTCACATCTTGACCTCACACACACACACACAGTATTCTTTGTTCACATGTATACCTATGCAAGATGTTATATGTTAATGACCCTATGCATAGTCATGTAACCACAATAAAAGGAGTGTTATGGGGGACCTGGCTGAGAGTCTGATGGAGGTCACGTGGTGGGACGACGCTTGGCTCCAGCCAGATCTCCCTCATGCATGAGTAAACATGAAGAACCTTGCCTACTTGTGTCTTGCTTTGCAGTGTAATTATATTGTCTTCAACGTTCCAGCGGATGGGTTCAAGCTAAAAACCTATCTCCATCCACATTACACCAGGGCCTGTGGTGCTGACCAATACCATCCACATTTCACCAGGGCCACTGTTGTTGGCTGAGGCCATACACTTTATACCAGGGACAGTGCTTCCTGTGAGGCCATCTTCACCACACCAGGGCCTGTACTGTTGGATGAGGACATCCACATTACACCAGGGACAGTTCTTCCTGTGACGCCATCATCACCACACCAGGGCCTGTGCTACTTGCTGATGCCATCCACATAACACCTGGGCCTGTGGTGCTGACCAATATCATGCACAATTCACCAGGGCCAGTGGTGTTGGCTAAGGCTATTCACATTACACCAGGGCCTGTGGTGCTGACCAATACCATCCACATTTCACCAGGGCCAGTGTTGTTGGCTGAGGCCATCCACATTACACCAGGGACAGTGCTTCCCTTGAGGCCATTGTGGTAGGACTTGACTTAAGCGGTCAAAGAAGTGCAGGAGACTGATGCTGTCCAGTGTAGCAAGTGATTTATTCACCATTCTGTGGCCCAAGAATATTTACAAAGAAACAAATAAGAAACTCAACTCTATAATAAACTCAATTCAAATAAACATAACTGAACTTAAATCAACGGAAATTAAGGTCAAACTGCACACAGCTACACTGACCTGAACCCTTCTTCTGAAACACCTGAGTTCGTCTGCTTAAATAGTACCCTTAATCAAACACTTTCTCCTCTGGACTATTCCATTCAGTAGGTAGGTGAGATGAACATGATTATATTCATCCTCTACTACTCCTCTTCACTGGCAACATAAACTCTGGTGTAATCAATACATATCACAACATTAAATCTATTTCTTTATAAACCCTTTAAAATCAACTTTATTAAATTATAAGAATTCTTCCCCTCCTGCCCTTGGTCTCTGTGACCTCAGATGAACCCAGAAGGTATAAAGCAGGAAGTAGAACTACATTTCCTCCTTTTGCTTCTGGAAGACAGGTAGGTAAAGGTAAGTTCAAACAATACAAATTAACAGTTGAAATAAATAACATGTTAACTTAACAAACTTGCATGAATTGATTTAAACCAAGATGTTATATTATATAATCTGTAAAAGTGCAGAACATAAACAAACCCGGGATAGTAGATGTTTGCCTATTGCAGATTACATGTGAAATATGGTTAAATCAAAACAAGAATGTTAACTAAGAATGTAGACAAATGGTCTTCTCACCCACTTTGTCACACTCCCCCCCCCCCTTAAGACCGTTACTCCTCTGAGTCACGGGACAGGAAATCAGCAATGACATTCTTATGTCCAGGTCTATACTGGACCTGGAAACGAAAAGGCTGGAGAGATAAATACCATCTTGTTATCCTGGCATTAGTGTCTTTCATATTATGAATCCATTGCAAAGCACGATGATCAGTCTCAAGAACAAACTCTTTCCCAACAAGATAATATCGCAAGGTGTCTAGAGCCCATTTAATCGCCAATGCCTCCTTTTCAATGGTCGAATACCTCATTTCCCTTGGAAAAAGTTTTCGACTGATGTACTGGACAGGCAACTGCTGCCCTTCCTCTCCTTGCAGTAAAACAGCTCCCAGACCCACCTCAGAGGCATCTGTTTGTACTGTGAATGGAAGGTTAAAATCTGGACACTGCAAAACAGGTTTCTGACACAAACAGTCTTTCAAATCATTAAATGCATCCTCAGCATCTTTCGTCCACCTGATCCTTGTAGGACTAGATTTTCTTGTCATGTCAGTCAATAAAGCTGCTCTTGAGGAAAAATTTGGAATTAGTCGACGATACCAACCTACTAATCCCAAAAATGATCTCAACCTTTTCTTTGTGTTTGGCAAGAGTGCTGCAGCAACTGCATCCACTTTTCCAACCTGAGGGCGAATGCCTCCACCCCCTATTACATAACCCAGGTACTGCACCTCGGGCTTGGCGATGTGACATTTCTTGGCATTTATGACAAGTCCAGCATTTGCGATACGTCGAAACACATCAGCAAGATGTTTCAGATGATCTTCCCATGTACCACTATAAACAACAATGTCATCAATGTAGGCAGCTGCATATTGTTCTGCACCCTTCAACACTCGATCCACCAACCTTTGGAATGTAGCTGGTGCTCCATGCAAACCAAAGGGCATCACTGTGAATCTAAACAGTCCACTCGGCACTCTGAATGTTGTTAAGTCCTTAGATGAATCTGTCAAGGGAACCTGCCAATAACCTTTACAGAGGTCAAGGGTAGTCAGAAATGTAGCATTTCCCAAACGATCAATTAGTTCATCAACCCTCGGCATTGGATAAGGATCAAAAGCAGACACAGAATTTAACTTAGAAAAGTTTACACAAAATCTAAGCTTAGGATCATCTTTCTTTGGTACAAGCACAACAGGGCTACACCACTCACTGTGCGATGGCTCAATGATTCCTGCAGCCAGCATCTCCTCCAGCTCACTTTTCAACTCAGGCAATAGCTTAGCTGGGATACGGCAAGTGGTATCTCTAATTGGCCGTTGGTCTGGAGAATGCAAAGTGATTTTGTGTTCAATGAGGTGTGTACGACCTGGCTTTAGACTGAAGAGTTCTTTGGTCATAAGTGATTGCACCTCCTGACGTCTTTCCAAAGGCAAATGGTTTAAATCTGGAAACACAGTTTTGACAGCTGAAGAAGGGAAGTACTGCTCCTGAGGCTCTTCCTCATCCACAACTGTACGTGCCCACATGGATGTTGAGTCCTGTGGCTGGTCAGTCCACTCTTTCAAAAGATTGACGTGGAACACTTGATGATTCTTTCGACGGTTTGGTAAATGAAGCTCATATGTGACTGGGCCTGTCTTCTTTGTGATTTCATATGGCCCCTGCCACTTTGCAAAAGGCCTGCTCTCAGAAGTTGGCAAAAGTAGAAGAACTTTCTGTCCCTCACGGAAGACTCTTCTTCTTGACACTTTATCATATCTTTGTTTTTGCCGCTGTTGCGCATGGGCCAGATTGTTATTAGCAAGTTCTTGGAAATGTTCTAGCTTGTCTCTCATTTTGAGGACATGTGAGAGTTCACTAAACCTCCGCTCTGACATCGAACCCTCCCAAGCTTCTTTCAGAACATCCATTGGACCTCTGACAGGATGCCCATAAAGTAGCTGGAATGGTGAAAACCCAGTAGAACTTTGTGGAACCTCTCGGTAGGCAAATAACAAAAATGGGAGCCATTGGTCCCAATCTGACCCTGTTTCATTCACAAATTTCCTGAGCATTGATTTTAAGGTCTTGTTAAATCGCTCCACAAGGCCATCAGTCTGTGGGTGATAGGGACTGGTCTTGACACCCTGGATCCCTAACAAACTATATACTTCTTTAAGCATCTTAGAAGTGAAATTGGTCCCCTGATCTGTGATGATTTCTTTTGGGATACCTACTCTGGAAAACAACTGAATCAGGCAGTTAACAATCTGACGAGCCTTTATTTTCTTCAGGGGGAAGGCTTCAGGATATTTTGTGGCATAGTCACAAACTACAAGTATGTACTTATGACCTGCTTTACTCTGTTCTAGTGGGCCAACAATGTCCATGGCAATGCGTGAAAAGGGTGTATCAATGATGGGCATACTGATAAGCGGAGCTCTATCTGCTTTCCTGCCTGGAGCTGTTAACTGGCACTGTGGGCAAGCTTTACAGTATTGTACCGTATCACTGAACTGTTGGGCCAGTAAAATCTGGGAATCATTCTAGAAAATGTTTTAGATTGTCCCAAATGTCCTGCCCAGGGAATGGAATGACTCATTTTCAAAATGGTAGATCTCAAACTCTGGGGGATCACCAACTGGTCACCAATCTTGCTACGGCGATGCAACAAATCTCCCTTAACCACAAACACTTCCTGCCTTCCCTCAACTGTAGTTGACTCTGGAACACATTTAGAGAACAATGGTTTAAGTGTTAGATCCTCTTTCTGAAGCCTAGCAACCTGACTAGCACTGGGGAGAGACTCAGTCTTTAAAGGATCTAAAATGTGTTCAGCTACTCTTGTTCCCTTCACCTTTTCATGTCTTCTCTGTCTCTTGCTCTTTTTTGGTTTAGAACGAGTGCTAGACTCGTCCAATGGGGCATCCTCATTTGCAAAAGGTAATTCATCCCAACCCAAAGCATTAACCTGTAGCTCCTTAGCTTTTGACCTTGTGACCGCTAACAAACTTTCAACGGTTTCAGTCTGACAGGGATGCTTGGCTATTAGCTCTGTGAGTATTGGGAGATCACGGCCCAACACCACTTGATAAGGCAGCGTTTGCAGCACTCCCACTGAAAGAGTGTAACACTGGCCTTCTACTTCAATTGCAACTTCAGCAACTGGGTATGATACCTTATCACCATGAATACAGCACACATCCACTGTTGCTCCTGAAAAGATCACATCCCTGGGAAGACTGTCTTGTCTAACCAGAGAGCGATTACTTCCTGAATCTAACAGAGCTACACAGGGTTTGTCTTCAACAAATACCCCAATTGATGGCTCACGTTGCTGACATTCAATTTCATTTTTGTGATTCTCACTGACTTCAGTTTGTCTAGCAGAACACATGTAATTTTTACTAACAGACATCTTTGTACACTGAGCTTTAAGATGACCTATCTGACCACACAAATGACATGCTTTATTGGTTTTATTTTTTGTCTCAGATCTGGCAGGATCTGAGTTATACCAGTTCTGTCTTGTGTGCTTAACTTTCAAGTCAGGGCCACCACCTAACTTGTTGAATGGCACGTTGGAATTTGACTTAACTGGTGTGAAGTCTTTTGATGGTCGACGAGCTGCTAAGAAAGCTTCAGCCAGTTCTGCTGCTTCCTTGGAAGTCTTTGGGTTACGTTCCTTAACCCACGTCCGAAGATCAGGATTCAAAACCTTGAGAAACTGTTCCATGATGATGGCGTCTCCGATTTGATCCCTTGTCTTTGTTTCAGGATTCATCCACTTGATGTACAACTCCTTTAGGCGGACCTGCAGCTCCCTTGGTGTTTCCTCTGCTCCAAAGGTACTAGAACGAAACCTCATTCGATAGGTGTCAACACTTATTTCATATTTCTGCAAGACAGCACACTTTACTTTTGCATAGTCCATAGTGTCATCAATATCCATGGCTACATAAGCGGAACGTGCTTTACCAGCTAGCAGTGGTGCTAGGTGAAGAGCCCACTCATCTCGCGGCCACTGGCAAGCATGAGCAATTCTTTCAAAGGTGATTAAATAATGTTCAATGTCCTCACCTTCATTGTAAGGTTGCATTTTTGGCCCCTTCCAGCCTGAATGTCTCACCAGTGTTGAAAGCTGTGCCTCACTGCGTTGATGTGCCGGCTCCAAGTCAAGCCTATTTGATTCTTGTGTGCTGGCAGATGGTTCTGGAGTAGGTGCTCTCGAAGAAGCCGATGTAGATGCTTGTACTTCAAGTAACTGATGCTCTAGATTGCCATGCTGCATCTGCTGTTGAAGCTGGGCAAACTGATGCCGGATTTGCCTCCATCTATCATCCTGGCGCTTGTGCTCTTGCTCCAGTTTAGCATCGCGTTCAGCCTGCTGTTGCATCAGAGTTTGCAAAAGTTTGGACAATTCAGCCACATTCTCTTGTCCAGAAAAATGGCCACTTATTGCCCCTTGTTGGTCGCTGCCATCTTGTAAATCATCTGCTTCACATTCTGGAACATCCCCTCTCTTTGCTCGGGTAGACATCTTCTCCACTCCTTAATTGGCCTGGAATCCCACTGCTGCTGCCACCAAATGTGGTAGGACTCGACTTAAGCGGTCAAAGAAGTGCAGGAGACTGATGCTGTCCAGTGTAGCAAGTGATTTATTCACCATTCTGTGGCCCAAGAATATTTACAAAGAAACAAATAAGAAACTCAACTCTATAATAAACTCAATTCAAATAAACATAACTGAACTTAAATCAACGGAAATTAAGGTCAAACTGCACACAGCTACACTGACCTGAACCCTTCTTCTGAAACACCTGAGTTCGTCTGCTTAAATAGTCCCCTTAATCAAACACTTTCTCCTCTGGACTATTCCATTCAGTAGGTAGGTGAGATGAACATGATTATATTCATCCTCTACTACTCCTCTTCACTGGCAACATAAACTCTGGTGTAGTCAATACATATCACAACATTAAATCTATTTCTTTATAAACCCTTTAAAATCAACTTTATTAAATTATAAGAATTCTTCCCCTCCTGCCCTTGGTCTCTTCCTGTGACCTCAGATGAACCCAGAAGGTATAAAGCAGGAAGTAGAACTACATTTCCTCCTTTTGCTTCTGGAAGACAGGTAGGTAAAGGTAAGTTCAAACAATACAAATTAACAGTTGAAATAAATAACATGTTAACTTAAACTTGCATGAATTGATTTAAACCAAGATGTTATATTATATAATCTGTAAAAGTGCAGAACATAAACAAACCCGGGATAGTAGATGTTTGCCTATTGCAGATTACATGTGAAATATGGTTAAATCAAAACAAGAATGTTAACTAAGAATGTAGACAAATGGTCTTCTCACCCACTTTGTCACAGCCATCTTCACCCAACCAGGGCCTCTGCTGCTTGTTGATGCCATCCACATTACACCTGGGCCTGTGGTGCTGACCGATATCATGCACATTTCACCAAGGTCAGTGGTGTTGGCTAAGCCTATTCTCATTACACCAGGGTGTGTGGTGCTGGCCAATACCATCCACATTTCACCAAGGTTTGTGTTGCTGTCTGATGCGATCCACAATACACAAAGGCCTGTGCTACTGGCTGAAGAGATTCACATTACACCAGGGCCTGTGGTGCTGGCCAATACCATCCACATTTCACCAGGGCCACTGTTGTTGGCTGAGGCCATACACTTTACACCAGGGACAGTGCGTCCTGTGAGGCCATCTTCAACACAACAGAGCCTATACTGTTGGCTGAGGCCATCCACAATACTCGAGGGACTTTGGTGCTGGCCAATACCATCCACATTACACCAGGGCCTGTGGTGCTGGCCAATACCATCGACATTTCACCAGGGCCACTGTTGTTGGCTGAGGCCATATACTTTATACCAGGGACAGTGCTTCCTGTGAGGCCATCTTCACCACACCAGGGCCAGTGCTACTCGCTGATGCCATCCACATTACACCTGGGCCTGTGGTGCTGACCAATATCATGCACAATTCACCAGGGCCAGTGGTGTTGGCTAAGGCTATTCACATTACACCAGGGCCTGTGGTGCTGACCAATACCATCCACATTTCACCAGGGCCAGTGTTGTTGGCTGAGGCCATCCACATTACACCAGGGACGGTGCTTCCAGTGATTACATCATCACCACACCAGGGCCTGTACTTTTGGATGAGGCCATCCACATTACACCAGGGCCTGTGCTGCTGGCCAATACCATCCTCATTTCAACAGGGCCACTGTTCTTAACTGAGGCCATACACATTACACCAGGGACAGTGCTTCCCTTGAGGCCATCTTCACCCAACCAGGGCCTCTGCTGCTCGTTGATGCCATCAACTTTACACCTGGGCCTGTGGTGCTGACCAATATCATGCACATTTCACCAGGGCCAGTGGTGTTGGCTGAGGCTATTCACATTACACAAAGGCCTGTGCTACTAGCTGATGACATTCACATTACACCAGGGCCTGTGGTGCTGGCCAACACCATCCACATTTCACCAGGGCCACTGTTGTTGGCTGAGGCCATACACGTTACACAAGGGACAGTGCTTCCTGTGAGGCCATCTTCATCACAACAGAGCCTGTACTGTTGGCTGAGGTCATCCACATTCCTCCAAGGCAAATGTAGTTGGCTTCTACCATCCACATAACACCAGGGACTGTGCTCCTTGTGATTCCATCATCACCACACCAGGGCCTGTGGTGCTGGCCAATACCATCCACATTTCACCAGGGCCACTGTTGTTGGCTTAGACCATACACTTTACACCACGGACAGTGCTTCCTGTGAGGCCATCTTCACCCAACCAGGGCCTCTGCTGCTCGTTGATGCCATCCACATTACACCTGGGCCTGTGGTGTTGGCTAAGGCTATTCACATTACACCAGGGTGTGTGGTGCTGGCCAATACCATCCACATTTCACCAAGGCAAATGTTGTTTGCTTCTACCATCAACATAACACCAGGGACGGTGCTTCCTGTGAGGCCATCTTCACCCGACCAGGGCCTCTGCTGCTTTTTGATACCATTCACATTACACCAGGGCCTGTGCTACTGGCTGATGCCATCCACAATACACCAGGGCCGGTGCTACTGGCTGATGCCATCCACGTTACACCAGGGCCAGTGCTCCCTGTGAGGCCATCTTCACCACACCAGGGCGTGCGTTGCTGGCTGATGTGATCCACAATTCAAAGGGCCTGTGCTACTGGCTAAGGCCATTCACATTAAACCAGGGCCAGTGGTGTTGGTTGAGGACATTCACATTACACCTGGGCCTGTGGTGCTGAACCATTTCATGCACATTTCACCAGATCAAGTGGTGTTGGCTAACGCCATTCACATTACACCAGAGTGCGTGGCGCTGTCCAATACCATCCATATTTCACCAGGGACAGTGTTGTTAGATGAGGCCATCCATATTACAACAGGGCCTGTGCTACTGGCTGAGGACATTTACATTTCGCCAGGGCCTGTGGTCATGGCTGAGGCCAACTACATTTCACCAGGGCCTGTGTTGGTGGCTAATCCCATCCACAATATACAAAGGCCTGTGCTACTGGCTGATGCCATCCACATTACACCAGGGCCAGTGCTCCCTGTCAAGCAATCTTCACCACACCACTGCCTGTGTTGCTGGCAGAGGCCATCCACATTGCACCAGGGACAGTGCTCCCTGTGAGGCCATATTCACCACACCAATGCCTGTGCTGCTGGCTGATACCATCCACATTTTACCAGGGCCAGTGTTGTTGGCTGAGGCCATACACATAAGACCAGGGACAGTGCTTTTGGCTGAGGCCATCATCACCACATCAGGGCTTGTGTTGGTGGCTGATCCCATCCACATTACACCAGGGCCGGTGCTACTGGCTGAGGCCAACTACATTTCACCAGGGCCAGTGCTCCCTGTGAAGCCGTCTTCACCACACCACTGCCTGTGTTGCTGGCTGATACCATCCACATTTTACCATTGCCTGTGCTACTCGTTGATGCCATCCACATTACAGCAGGGCCTGTGCTACTTGCTGATGCCATCCACAATACACAAGGGCCTGTGCTTTTGGCTGATGCCATCCACATTAAACCTGGGCCTGTGGCGCTGAACGATATCATGCACATTTCACCAGATCAAGTGGTGTTGGCTATGGCCATCCACATTTCACCAGGGCCACTGTTGTTGGCTGAGGCCATACACTTTACACCAGGGACAGTGCTACTGGCTGATGCCATCAACAATACACAAGGGCCTGTGCTGCTGGCTGATGCCATCCACATTACACCAGGGCAAGTGGTGTAGGCTATGGCCATTCACATTACACCAGGTTGTCTGCTACTCGTTGATTCCATGCACATTTCACCAGGGTTTGTGTTGCTGGCTGATGCGATCCACATTACACCAGGGCCAGTGCTTCCTGTGAGGTCATCTTCACCCGACCAAGGCCTCTGCTGCTCGTTGATGCCATCCACATTACACCTGGGCCTGTGCTCCTGGATGATGCCATCCAGGGGGCTGTGCTACTGGTTGAGGATATTTACATTTCACCAGGGCCTGTGGTCATGACTGAGGCCAATTACATTTCACCAGGGCCTGTGTTGGTGGCTGATCCCATCCACAGTTTACCAGTGCCTGTGCTTTTGGCTGATGCCATTCACATTACACCAGGGCCAGTGGTGGTGGCTGAGGACATTCACATTACACCTGGGCCTGTGGTGCTGAACCATTTCATGCACATTTCACCAGATCAAGTGGTGTTGGCTATGGCCATTCACATTACACCAGGGTGTGTGGTGCTGACCAATACCATCCATATTTCACCAGGGACAGTGTTGTTAGATCAGGCCATCCACATTACATCAGGGCCTGTGATACTGGCTGAGGACATTTACATTTCACCAGGGCCTGTGGTCATGGCTGAGGCCAACTACATTTCACCAGGGCCTGTGTTGGTGGCTGATCCCATACACAATATACAAAGGCCTGTGCTACTGGCTGATGCCATCCACATTACACCAGGGCCAGTGCTCCCTGTGAAGCCATCTTAACCACACCACTGCCTGTGTTTTACCAAGGCCTGCGTTGCTGGGTCATGCCATCCACATTAAACCAGGGCCTGTGCTACTGGCTGAGGCCAACTACATTTCACAAGGGCCTGTGCTACTCGTTGATGCCATCCACATTACACCAGGGCCTGTGGTGCTGGCCAATACCATCGACATTTCACCAGGGCCACTGTTGTTGGCTGAGGCCATACACTTTACACCAGGGACAGTGCTTCCTGTGAGGCCATCTTCACCACACCAGGGCCAGTGCTACTTGCTGATGCCATCCACATTACACCTGGGCCTGTGGTGCTGACCAATATCATGCACAATTCACCAGGGCCAGTGGTGTTGGCTAAGGCTATTCACATTACACCAGGGCCTGTGGTGCTGACCAATACCATCCACATTTCACCAGGGCCAGTGTTGTTGGCTGAGGCCATCCACATTACACCAGGGACGGTGCTTCC